AAAAAAACAAGAAATGAAAGAAACTTACATTAGTGAGCCCACAAAACTGCAAGTTAGTAGACACAACTGAAACATTGCTTTCCTTGATAACATTGTACAATGAGCCCACTGAACAAGTGTAAGAGTATTCATATTAACCCAATAAATAAATAAATAAATAAATAAAATAGAATAAAACAAAACTTTAAGTTATTACTGTTAGATCTATTTTAGGATTAAATATGTGTAATTAATAAATTGGGTCATTATATTGTTTAGCCAAAATTAAGTGATCAAATTGTTGTATATTGGCTAAGGAATTTAATTTAGATTTTGGAATGATTAAATGTGGACTGTCGGTAATATTATTATTTGGTGATGTAATAAATAATAATATTAAACTTAAAGACTTAAATAATGTATAATTTAGGTCAAAATTATTTATGGGTGAAGTCCTCAAAAACCGTGAAAATAAAGTGATGTCCATTAAAATAATTCATAAGTAGTAGCCGACAACTCCACAACTCCTTTCATTAATTATTCATTAAATGTGATTAGTATTGACTAATCAATATAAAAGGATCAAGGGGGAGGGGCATCATCTACATCAGAAGAAATTTTCTTTCTTGAAGCATAATCAGTTTTTCTTTCAATGCGTCCGAAAGAAATAATAAGAGAAAAATTTACGGTCTTTTGGAAGATTTCCAAATCCCAAATCCAATTAATCAATCAATATGAATCCATCAGGTATGTTTCCGCTATTCAGTTATGATTCTCGATTATTCGATATGAATGCTATTGGGATTAATATCGATCAATTTCGAATAAAGTTAAATCCAATTCTAAACATTACTCATGCACACCAAAAATAACGAAAAAAAGCCAAAAAAAGAAAAGTTAAAAATATTTCGAGCAAACTAAAGCACCGACAGCCATTTCACCATGTCGGTGACTGCTATACGCTCGTCAGGTTTTTCACCGTTAGATCAACACACACTCATTCAGAAATGTGTGTGTGTTTTGATCAAACGGTGAAAAAACCCGACAACTGCACTTCAATCACAAGTAAGGTCGAGTCAAGTGCAATTATCTTGTTTTTCACTGCAGTACTGTCTACTAATCCAACAGTGAAAAACCGAAAAACTGCACGACAATCACTGCAGTCATCGTACTGTAGTATGTATTGATTCAACGGTAAAAAAAACACGATAATTGCATAGTCAGCATTATAGTCACCATCAACTGCAGTCATTGTCAACGGTAAAAAAAAAAAAAAAAAAAAAAAAAAAATCTAAGAACTGTACTGCAAAGTTGCAAATCAACTGCAGTCATCGTGTTTTTCACCTGCAATCATGGTGTTTTTTTCAACGTAGTGTGTACTGATCCAACAGTGAAAAACTGAGCAACTTTTGCAAAGCAGTACAAATACAGCCTTTTTAGATAATTGCATTCTGACCCCTCCACTCTGGGCATTATTTTGCTGCTACTCCAAAAACCGAACCGCACCGCTATAGAAGGAAAAACCGAGCTGCACCGAACCGAAAATTTCGGTTCGGTGCGGTTTGGTTTTTGGGTTAACCGAAATTAAAAAATATAACCACCAATTAATGTTATGTACGTAAAATTATAAAAATTAAGGTGATATTTTATTGAAAAAAATAAAAAAAAAGTGACATTATATGACATTCGGCGCCGTTCGGTTAAAACTGCACCCTTCGGAGAGAAAACCGAACCGCACCGAAATACTTGCGGTTTTTCAAAACTCAAACCGCACCGATAACCGAACTTACCAAAAACTGCACCGAATAGCTCGGTTCGGTGCGGTTTTTCGGTTTCGGCTCGATTTTGCTCACCCCTAGGCACGGCCCTTATAAGCCCGATTATGGACCGGCCCGAAATTTTTTTAAGGGTCGGCTAAGGGCCGTCTTTTATCCATTTTTGACCCGTCGGGCTGGACTGGTTCCGGTTTTTCTGGTTTTTGTCGGGCCAGGACGGTTCAAATGAACCGATTCATAGGAATAGCCGGGCCGGTCACAAGCCCAACAATAGAGGCCACCGACCTGGCGGGCCGGGCCGGGCGGGGCCGTGATCCGGCAGTTGGCCATGTCTAGGTTGTTAACTACGTGACGTGACTTCTCTAGATCGTATGTGAGAGAAAGGTACGAAGATCATTTTCGTTATAAGAGACAAAAGCATTTTTTGCTCGAGGTTTTTTTAGGGGGTGATTGTTTATGAGTTGTACAGTAATTTTTTTTACTCAAATTCAAATTTAACTCAACTTTAACTCAACCCCACTATCTTCAATATTATTATATAATTAAATAACATCAACAAATCATTATTACATATCACATCAACTTTAATTCACTATTCATCTACTCACATAATTTTAACTAATTTTAACTAACTATCACTTCCAATCATTTTCTCTTACTTTTACATCAAATCAACTTTAACTATTTTATTTTAAATACTATTTTAATATATCCACTAACAATTAACCACACTACTTTTTCTTAAACTTAACCATAATTAAAAAATTCTAGATTTTTTACTATTCAAAACATAAACAATCACCCCCTTAGTGTGTGGAGTGACTAGTCATACTACTGTGGACGTAGTTAATGGTCATCTTTGATTTTATTGGTATTTATTGTGGTAGTACCCTTGTTGTCGTCTAAATTACCCCTATAGTAAATATTCTTTCCTATGATTCCATTTTTCTTGTTCAATAATGGAGGATTACTACTAGTATTTTAAATATTGTACACTATAAATTAGTGATATAAATCAGAGAAAATATTTACTTACGTTCAGTTTTCGTGAGTTAGTTTTTCATATCGTTGGATTACAATTTAACTCTTTTAATCCAAAAAATGCGAAACGTATTATGCGATAATAGTGCAAAACCCATAGATAATATAGTATATTGCCCCTCCCCTTCTATAGATAGCCATGCCCCGACGCTTGAACAGATCATCAGAAATTGGATACAAAATCAAGAGGGATGAGATCGAATAATAGAATATGACAAAGTGCATCGATTTCATATAGAATAGCTCAATAGCTTTCAACAGGCCATATAAGAACACGTCTGGGAGCAATTCATATTCTTCAATAAATCTCGGTGCAAGTGTACCAACGCAGTCTAAACCGTAATCTCATATAACATATTACTGCTACGTTACCATGACAAAACCGAAATCAATATATAAAAGGATAGAGAAGTCACGATAAAACTTAGCATACACATTTATAATGTACATAAGAAGTTAGAAAATTATGACGAATATAGCAAAAACAAAATAAACGGTTCTGTAATCATTCTGTCAGGGTTTGTAACCGTTAGATCATCATGTAACCGTCAGAGATAGTTGATCTAACAGTTACAAATCTTGAAAGAATGGTTCTGTGACAGGACCGTAGCATCTTCCTAAAATGTGTTTCTCTCCCGAAAAGCATCAAAATAAACTATGCCTCATCAGCAGGAAAGTAAAATACATTATCAAATTTAATTCATTTTCCTAAATTAATTTTAATGTGAGGACTCCTCTTTAATAAGAATCAAGATACAGTGTATGAAGAGATTGCGAGGAGACAAGAACTGGGCAATGGCATGCATTTGGAAAAGTAGGAATGTAATTTAATTTTGTTAGGAGAAGGAATTAAATGGGGGAAATCTTAATATATTATTACTAGTACATGTCCCGTGCGATGCACGGACTGTATTATTCTTAGGGTATATTATAAATTGAAGTGTATTAACAAATAAAAAAGTGAAATATTATAAGTTGAAGTGTATTAATAAATAAAAGTGTGACAATACGTACGGTAATTATCAAACAATAAAAATGTTCCAAAAAAATATATATTATTAAAAACTTTTTAGTACACAATATTATTAGTTTAATTACTGGACAACTCGTCGCATAACCTAATATTTTCAACTCTTTTATATTACTTGCACACAAACCAGCAACATATAATTGTCCATGACTAAAAACGAACTCTTTTTTATCATCATGCATACAAAACTATAAGTAGAAACTGGTGTTGTTAGAGCAATAATGAAAATTTAAGATCGAAGTGAGTTATTTATCGTAGGATAATTTACATGGCAGTTCTAAAAATGTTATTCGTCTGGCATTTAATAACACAATTATACTTATTTAGCAAAATAATAATTACTGATATTTTTATACTTTTTTAATTATATAAAAGAGCATTAAAATATATGCTTAGAATATTAAAAACAAATAACACTTATGTATAACACACATATATATGTATCTATAGATATGTATCTATATATAAATAGACCTTAATTTATAAGATGTGTACAAAATTTCCCAATTAACATGTTTAAAAATATATAATAATGTTATATGTGACTAATAAGCATTACAATCTAAAAAATATTAGTATTTATAACGTATTACCAAATAATATGCATGAGACCTGCAAAACATTAGACATTTACATTTGTGGACGTGCCACCGTAAAAAGAGATTTGTATATATCTCATAACAAATTGTCTTTTAATTAAATAATTTAAATAATTATATAATTAAAATAAAAAAGAATCCTCCATAAATGGAAATTTTAAAATCGGATGTTTAATTATTACATAATATTTGCCCAAACAATTATCAACGTAAATAAAGGAAACCTAGAATTGACTAAACCAAACATAAATTGAAAGTCTATGTTTATGGAAACTATTCATTATTGATTTATTTATTTTTATTTAAGCATGTAATATTATTTACATCTATAGTAGGTAATTAATGTTTTTGGTCGAAAAATATTATTTAACAATGAATTAATCTTATTCTTATTATATATATAGATAGATTATAATGAATGCAATTACTGCTTAATTTTTTGGTTAAATAAATTCTAAAATTACCATTTTAGAATGAAATTAATGTTTATGGCGATAAAATTTTTCTAAAAATTATTTAACATTATTCTTATTATATATATAGAGAGAGATAGACTTATACAATTAATTGTGATATTATGTATGGGGAAAATTCTAAGGTGCCCTCACGGGATGGTACCGTCAGTGTTTTACACCATTGGATACACATAAAGATTATTTTGTGTGGATAATCTACGGTAACCAATATTGACGGAACCATTTCGTCAACGGGACTGCAGTAGTTTCCTATGTATGGATGGGCTAAATTATTATGTCTATCAGCTAAAATGAAAGATATTCCATCAATATTTATAAATTTATTTTTATTTCAAAATGCAAAGAAAAAATTTGCTTAAAGATTCGATAAAATAGCAACAACTAAATACCATAAAAAAATCTACTATTCCAGTGTTATCATGTTTATCGGCTCAAATGTAAAATATTAATTCAAGATTTTAACTTTGTGTTTATAGGAAAAATATAAATTAAGATTGGCATGCAAATTGTGTAAAGTCAGATTTTACCCAAAAAAATAGCGATAACGTTAAGAAGGGATCTTGTATAAAAAAAATTGCTAGTTCGAAATGCGAAGAAAAAATTGCTAAATAATTTGTTAAAATAATAGCTACCCATACAAAATAGAACCCAATTTTAAAGGAAAGATATATGGGATCCTGTTTTTAAGGGAAAGATTTAAATTTATTATTGCAACTTAATTAATGCTAGACATGAATATTAAAAAAAAGGGTTGCCATTAATAGAAAGCAATTAATGTAGATAAGGGTTTGACCAAAAATTGAATTGCCATTTTTAAAAAATAGTAATTCTTTTTATATAGATATAGATATTTTTATTGTCAGATAGGCCGCCCTCGCTGTATCTCTTTATTAAATTAGAGAGAATTTAATTTGAATAAAAAAAATATATATTTTGTTAACAAAATATATATATTTAAAAATATTCCTCTTATTTTTAAAAATATTTAAAAATACTCCTCTTATATTTTGTTAAAAATATATATTTATAGCCAAACGTTTGGCTATAAATATTCCTCTTATTAAAGAGTAATTTAAAAAAATATATTTTGATTGGCTACATCATTCCTCTTATGTAAGAGAAAGATCATAAAAAAAAAAGTAATATACTAAAAAAAAAAAAAAACATTTTATTTAGGTTTGGGTGTTTCTCTTTGCAAATGCTTGTTCAATGTCATGAAAAATTGCTTTAATGACATTTGGATAAATTCTATTTTTAAAAATTGTATTATTATTATTATTATTTATTATATTTTAAATGACAAAAAGTGTGTTGGACGTTTATAATAAATTTCCTATCATCCTAAGTTTATGGATTTAATCAAAATATTTTAAACTTAGTAAGTGTAACTTAATATTTATAATTTAATTAGTATTTTAATTAGTATTTAAACT